CCGCCGTCACCGCACTCCAGGATATTAAGACGTCATCATTTTATTTTGAGCCTCGAGGTCTTTCGAGCTATTTATAAACATATCTTTTACTTCTTTCAGGTGTAAAAATGTCAAATAAACATGTTTCGGTGTGTCACTTACGAAGATAGTGGCTGGATTTTAATAGGCACCTAAGTAAAAGTATTTCTATTCTTATTTTTATTTGTAGCGCTATTTTTCTATTTAACATAACATAACATCACGCCTATTATTGCCCAAGAAGTAGGCAGAGGTGCACATTACGCCACTGAATGCCACTGTACAATGTAACACGCACTTTTCACTATTTGTGTTATGAGTCCCGTAGAATAGGGGGGTATAATAGGACTGCACGGTTGGTACGGTGGCTGGGCAACCGGCTGCAGTGCAACGTGTCGCGGGTTCGATTCCCGCACGGAACAACACTTTGTGTGATCCACAAATTGTGGATCCCCTGAGGAGACAGGCGTGAGGTGGGGTTATGTATGTATATAATATAAGTAATATGAAAAGAATTCTCTAATAAAACATGATTGTTAGTAGGTACTTTACTGATATCCTCTTCAGGAAATTAATCTCAAAAGCGTGTATTAATTTTATGTTAAACAACAACACAACAATATTATAAACAAATATATATATACAACTAAAACGGCAACCATGAATTACCTACCTACATCTCATTTCCAAGAATCATTACAAATTCGACTCTCTCATAATGAGGTACGTGTTATATTACAATACATAATTAAGTACGGTACATAACATCACGCCTTTAAGGAAGAAATAAACACTGCCAATTAAAGATCTACTTTTTATTACAAGTTACTTTTGAACTTCTTAACCCTTTGAGTACCGTCATTATAGACACAATTAAAGAACAATGGGTGTGCGGACACGGTGTTTGACAGTTTAAAGAAGGGGTAATCCTATTACCTTATAATCACCACATTCTAGTGGTAGTAGATAACTATCACTTTTTAAGGGGAGAACACATCCAATGAGATGGTAGAGAGAGAAGGAGTATCAGACTCTCTTACTGACTAAAAACCACTCCGTTCCTTCTCCTTTCCTTCGAGCCAGAGCCCCGGCCACCCGTTAAGTTCTTCGCGGCTTCATTCTATTTACTAAGTACCTACAAGCTTTTGTCAGAAAACCAGAAAGCCCCATATTAATTGGTCCGACTTATGCCGGAATACTGAAACGTTAATCAATTTTAAGTCACGCTTAAGTATAGTTCTGTCACCACTAATTCTTTGTGAAATGACAGAGATGGCACGATATTTAAGCACGACTTAAAATTGAGTAACGTTTCAGTATTCCGGCATTAGAAATCAAACCCGACATAGGTTATAATAACTATCGTAAGACAGACTAAATTAACTAAAATCGCGAGTTTCTCACGTGAACATACTGAGAAAAGCTCTACTAGTTTCGAACCACAGAGGGGTTCTTCCTCATGAGCAGCGTGCGCGGTCGCGGCGACGTCGGACAGTCAGGTCAGTAAGCTGCGCGACTTTAGTTAATTGAGTTAACAGACACAGATTGTTCCGTAGACACTTGCAGCCATTTGACCAATGAGATAGTTAGATACAAAAAAAATTAAGGAACCCAATAATACATTATCATACTCGGTCCCAACCACAAAAACACGACTCTGACTTAACCGTTTCATATCCCCACGGCGCATAGAGAAAAATCCAATTGAACTAATGCATGTGTCGACAGGTATTACCTACTTACGTAAGCAAAGCCAAGATTAAACGAAATGCATTTTATGTATTTATCTACATAGGTAGGTTACCTGTGTTTACATACTCGTAGCTATACTCGTAACTTAGTTCATTATTAACAACCTATAAATGCCCACTGCTCAGCAAAGCCTCTTCTCATACGGAGAAAGTTTGAGCATTTTAAGAGAGATGTGGGAGAGCCATGCTTGCACGAAAGGGCCGGCTCGACCGGAGTGTAACCACGGCCTCACAGGAAACCGACGTGAAGCAACGTTGCGTTGTGTTTCGTCGTGTGAGTGAGGTTACCGGAGGCCCAATTACCCTCCCCTTCCCCAATCCCTGAATCCCCAACGATCCTCAAACTCCTAATCCTTAAAAGGCCGGTAAAGCACTTGTAACGCCTCTGGTGTTCCAGGTGTCCGTGGGCGACGCCGATTGCTTACCATCAGATGATGCGTCAGCTCGTTTACCGGTTTATGCCATAAAAAAAATCACCACGCTTGCTCAATTCGGGTTGGCGATTACAAACTTATAATTAGAAATTATAAGTGCAGGTTTCCTTCACCGTTTGTCAGTGGTGTCTAGATAATCTTAGAAAGTATATATAACTCGGAAAAAGTCACATTGGTACTTGCCGTTGGTAGGTTTCGAATGCACCCATACATGCAATGCATGAGCATGAGAAGCGGGCGTTTTAAGCCTCCGGGCCACCACGACATACGAGAACTGAGTTAACTTTTTGTAAAGAACGTATTTAGGTACATAATATGGGCTGTGACATAATTAATATTTCGGTTGACTATCAAAAGTATGAAGGTGCCAGAGTACCTCTCAGTCTGGCCGAAGTAAGCTGTTATCGCGGACACTCAAAGCCCTATAAATATTTACAACAAGAGAAATGTTTTTTGTCATCTATCTACCGTTAGATTAAAATTGATTATCTACTATATAAAAATAAGTCAGATTTTCCTTCCTGACGCTGTAACTCCAGAACGCACGAACCGATTTCCACGGTTTTGCATTCGTTGGAAAAGTCTCGGGCTCCGTGAGGTTTATAGCAAAGAAAATTCACTTTTAACTTTTTGAGTACCGTCATTATAGACACATTTAAAGAACAATAGGTTGCGGTCACCGGTGTCCTCGCGGTGTTTGACAGTTTAATCACCAAACGAAATATTACGTCAAACGAAGCCATCTGATAGCGAAACGGAGTTCGCCGGGTTTGCTAGTTATTACTAAAAATATAGACAGAACTATAACTAACATATAAAACAATAAAATAATTTCACTTAAAAAACTACACAACACAAATAACCACGTAAAATTAATTTGTTAAGTTAACACACAATAAAAATGTCAAGTTAGAGAGCTTTCCATTAATTCTAGACTACAACCAGAGACCAATTAGCTGGTAACACTATAATTCACTCTGGCGACTGTGGCGGCCTCTATTGTTGACCAAATACAAAGCCTTAATCTACTTTTAAAATCTAGCACCTAAAGTTCTGAATTAAACTATCCACTATAGAATTATTTCGGTTTAGGGTTACTGACATACTGTTTAGAAATGTAGTGAATAATTGCTAAAGTTTAGACTAATTATTCAATTTTAAGCATTTATTTCAAAGATATTTCTGAAAGTTAAGAATAGAATGAAAGCATGTTTTTGTCTATCGCTTCTAGACTTTTATTAAGCTTATTTTTTTATGAAATAACCCGGTAAATGAGCAGACGGATCACCTGATGATAAGCAATCGGCGTCGCCCACGGACACCTGGAACACCAGAGGCATTACAAGTGCGTTACGTAAATTTGAGGATTGTTGGGGATTCAGGGATTGTGGAAGGGGAGGGGCAGTAATTGGGCCTCCGCTAACCTCACTCACACGACGAAACTCAACGCAAGCGTTGTTTCACGTCGGTTTTCTGTGAGGCCGTGGTATCACTTCAGTCGAACCGGCCCATTCGTGCTAAAGCATGGCTCTCCCACACTTAATCGTTACATTAAAATTAAGTTTAAATAGCCAAAGTGTCATAAGTTACATTGGAAAAGTAAAATTGGTAAAGGGAAAAGTCTTCAGAAATTATATAACCCTCAAAAATGAAATCATAATGTACTATCTTCCCTCTATCTTTATAATAATTTTATTGTCAATGAAATAATAATTTTTATCACTATTTATTATTTAATAAGATAAGATTGTGCTTATACGTAATATAACATAATTATGTATGTCGAACAAGTCATCTGTCCGTTTATTCAAAAATAACTTTAGTTTAAAAAATAATCTAAAGCATTTCTATATTTCTATTATAACAAATAAATAAATTGTACATCTGATTAATCAAAGATAATAAAAAATACACAAATACGATAATACTAGTTCTGGTTAGTACCTATGATGTAATATCATTGGCCCCTTAGCCGTATTTATACCCGGATTCCAAGGGGCAGGCAGAGTGCACATTACGACACTTAATAATGCCACTGTACAATCAAATGTAACACCCACTTTTCACTATTTATGTTTTGAGTCCCATGTAATAGGGGGTGAGCCTATTGCCATATACCGGGCAAAATTCCAGACTCCGCGCTACTACTGAGTTTTTTTTAAAACTCAGTAATATTTTGCTCGACCCGGGAATCGAACCCGAGACCCCTTGGCCGGCAGTCGCACTTGCGACCACTCGGCCAACGAGGCAGTCAAAAGTCGGTAATCTATATATATAAAAGAAAGTCGTGTTAGTTACACTATTTATAACTCAATAATGGCTAAATCGATTTGGATGCAAATTGGTGGGGAGGTAGCTTAGAACCAGGAGACGGACATAGGATACTTTTTACACAATTCTTTTTTTTTACTTTTACCGAAAATCAAGAACGGGAACGGGAAATATCGGGATTGCGCGTACGAAGTCGCGGGCAGAAGCTAGTACCTGTTATAACTAAAACAGTGAGCAATGACAAACGAAGATGATTTCAGTACATTTCATAATCTCTTGATTATTTCAAATTAAATAAATCGATAAGATATATACATATTTATCGTTCAAGGTACAAACATATTAGTCATTCATTTTTAATTCATAATTATTAAGTATAACACAAAACTTGACATCAAATAGTTGTACTAAAAAAAACTCAATTTTGAAATGAATCAAGTGTGACTTTAAAAAGGACTAACGAAACTGAAGTGAACAATTAAAAGTCAATCATATCTTACTTAAAATAAGGTGTAATTTTAAAGTGATGTTCGTGAGTTACAAGTGGTTAGTGCTGTGGTCATTATGGGCTAGTCGGTTTGTTCGTCAACCCACTCCAGTAAGACAGTTACATGATGGATCGCTAGTAAGAGGACAGTACTCAGTAGATAGTTCCTATCAGCGATACACTGGTATACCATATGCTAGCTCCGAACATAAATACAGATTTAAGGTAAGAAACTAATATTTTAAAAAAACCTTTATGTTGAAACTTGCCTATAGTAAAATATCGGCACCAACTTTCAATTCTTCATTCGGCTCACCAACACACTGGCTTTCAGGCTTTTCGTTTTGTTGGCAATAATAAAATCGATCTTGATTGAGGTTTGGGAAAATAAGCATATGTACTGTACAGTCCTTTGTTTTACTTCATATAAGCCGACAGAGCCTCGACACCTTCAGAATAGAAGGTAAAGAAAAATTATGGCTTCATCAGCAAAAGATGCCAAATTAATAAATAAAAACAATAAATTAACACTTGATACAATAAACACTTGATTACCTAAAACATCATCAACTAAACAATCACCACTGTTCCAGGCTCCTGGACCTGCTCCGAAATGGGACGGAGTCTTCGAAGCTACCAGGGAACACATAAGATGTCCACAATCCAATTTCAAGTTCCTTCCCCCATTACTTGGGACTGAAGACTGCCTCACCATCAACGTTTACAGTCCAAACCATGCATGGGATGGTGCACCACTACCAGTCATGGTCTTCATCCATGGAGGTGGATTCAAAGAAGGATCAGGATCCTCTTTGCTGTATGGACCCGAGTTCTTAGTAGCCAAAGGAGTTGTCCTCGTCACCTTCAACTATAGACTGAACGTCCATGGATTTCTCTGCTTAGGTATAAAGGATGCCCCTGGCAACGCAGGACTTAAAGACCAGGTTGCCGCGCTCAAATGGGTTCAAAAAAATATTCGAGCTTTTGGTGGAGACCCTGATAATGTCACCATATTTGGTGAGAGTGCTGGTGGTGCTTCTGTGTCGTATCATTTGCTCTCTCCAATGTCTAAAGGACTATTTCACAGGGCTATCGCACAAAGTGGATCTTCTGTATCAGCGTTTGCAAGAAAACGGGATCCATTAGATCAAGCAGTCGCTTTAGCAAAAGCTATGGGTCTGAACATTAATGATCCACAACAGTTATATGAAAATTTTATGAAAATGCCCCTGGATGAGTTAGTTAGTACAGATATACCGCGAGTGAAAGGAAGATTGCAATTTGCACATCTGCCATTTGTACCGTGTACTGAACAACCAATAGATGGCGTTGAACCGTTTATAACAGATTCACCTTTTAATATCTTCTCTAAAGGAGACTATAATAAAGTTCCTGTCATCATTGGCTCGAATAGTGAAGAAGGATATTATTTTGCAGGCTTAGATACTGACGAAACATTAGCTAATCTAAGTTTTGAACGCTCAGTAGAACTGTTTGATCTTGAATTCCCAACAGAGGATAAAATGAAAGAAGTTGCGAATAATTTGAGAAAGATGTATATGGGCAATGATGAAATTTCCTTAAAGAACATTGTTAAGCTTTCCAGATTTCATGGGGAGCCATATTTTAATTTGCCAGATAATATTGAGACTGATCTGATATTGAAGACGAGTGATAAGCCTGTTTATAAATATGAGTTTCAATACAGTGGGAGAAGGAATATTCCTAAGTTTATAGCTGGGTATACATTCATAAGTGCTCCAGGAGCTACCCATGCTGATGAGCTGTTCTATCTTTTTACTTTGTTTCCTATACCGATCATGTTTGAGACCGAAATGATCAGGACTATGACCACCTTGTGGACTAATTTTGCCAAATACGGGTTAGTATCTTGTACCAAATTTGTTTATTTTTTTAGTAATTAACTGCCTTGTTGAATATGCATCATTGCTTAATCTTTTGGTGATTAAAAGTCGTGATAGTGGTAGTTCAAAGTCCGGATTTGGGTCCACTTTTTAACTATGGAGTCAAAGATGTTTGTCATTACTTATAATTAATATTACTTACTATACAACGGTCTACTTCTTCACTAAATAGACTGCTGATAATAATAATTATGACGATTTATATATGATTATAACGGTTGACCGATTTGGATGTTATTTGCACGTCGTGTGGCTAATATTATGATGATAATCCTTTGTTTGTTTCCAGAACTCCAACACCAGAAGGCAGTAAGTTCAACTGGCCTCCTACTTCCCTGGCCTTGCCCACAAGGTTGGACATCAAAGACCAGCTGTCCATAGTCCATAATCCTCCAATCACGGATACTGTGCAATATTGGAAGCAGTTGTATGATGAATATCGAGCACCATAACTAAAAATAAATTATAACGTAGTTTAATAGTAAGTACTAATTTTAATAATGAGGTGGAAAAGTGTCTGTATATTATTACTGTAAGGAATATGTCAACCCATTTAAAAAAATAAATGATGCAGTGTTTGTTGGAAAGTTGTTAATAAAAACATAAATAGAGAATGGTGGTATTTATTTCTGATTGTTCATATAACCATGGGGTCTGGAAAAGTGTCCGTTTGATACAAAATAATTATTATATGGGATCACTCACGACGAAACACAAGTGTTGTTTCACGTCGGTTTTCTGTGAGGCCGTGGTATCACTCGGGTCGAGCCGGCCTATTCGTGCCCAAGAATGAGTCTCCCACACTTACATTATGAACTGTATTCATATTTGTCTAATTTTTAACAAAAACACAATTTTCTTTGCAGTTAGGTTTATTTGATTCTTTAAAAATATTTAGTGTAGTTTTTGACCTTTGAGATAGGCAACACATTTAGTTAAAATTTCTAATTACATGGTAATCCTTCCTGGTAAAATTGGGTAGTTTCTAGGGTATCAAAATTAAAAAACTCATTAGTCCGTCAGTTAGATAATGAAAAAATATTAGACACGTATTTTTATATTTTTTCGTATTAAGTTGCAATACTTAGATAAAATGGCACTTAGTTTAGGAGTCGTCGTTACGTCATAACGTGCTACAAAATGTGGCACGCTGTGACGTCACACGATATTTCAAATTAATATATCGTCGAAAGTATTTAATTTTGTGAGAAAAGAAAAAATACGTGTCTAAAGTTTTGAATTAATGTACTAGACGGACATTAAAATAAAATTTTGGAAACTACCCTATTATACCAACATGTCTCTTCAACTTCGAGGCAGTATGTCAGTGAATATAAAACGGATTCTCATGCGCCGTCAGGCACAAGCCGTCTGCAGCGTTGGAGTTTGGCCAACCGCAAATCTGATAACGAACACAACTGATTGCGATACGTTGAAACATTCAGATGAAACACTTGATCTGTTCCGTGTGTATGTAAGGTATGATTTTTTTTTATGGCATAAGCCGGTAAACGAGCAAACGGATCACCTGTTGGTAAGCAATCGGCGTCGCCCATTGACACCATTGGAACACCAGAGGCGTTATAAGTGCGTTACCGGCCTTTTGGAATACGGAAAGTAAGGATTATTCGGGATTCAGGGAAAGGGGGGAGAGGTAATTGGGCCTCCGGTAACCTCACTCATATGACGAAACACAACCTAAGCGTTGTTTCACGTCGGTATTCTGTGAGGCCGTGGTATCACAGGTGATCTGTCGGCTCGTTTACCGGCTTATCACATAAAAAAAGAATACGATTTTGTGCATTGTGTCTTTCTCCAATCTCTTTTCACTTCAGATTCACTCAAATATGTTTTTACTTAATTTCATTTCTGTTAACTTTTCATCAATATTATTATTGGGTTTAAACGTAACTACATTGGATATGTCACTTAATTTTATTAACTTGACTCATACACCAGAAATATATATGGGACCTTCATTCAGCAACCCTATCTGCCGTCACTTAGCCAACGAGACCAAAACAAATGATGATTACACTCCCCAAACCACGGTATCTTTATCAGCAATTAAGGTGAAAGAAAATATAACGTCAGTATGGAATCCCATCTCATTCCCTGAAGCAACTTGATCCCTGGGAAAATGTTTTCAGTGGAAATTAATTTGATCCAAAATAAGGTCTGGTCCCAACTCCGGTAACTGTCAAAATTGATGGTCGGGATTGACTTCGGATTTAGAACTTTAATTGAATCACTTTGTTAGTAGGAGTTCGTATTATTATAGGATTTTTTGCAATTACTGTCGTTAGGTTTATTTTTGTTTTCATTTTGTGTCTTAATGTTTTTATTTTGTAGAAAAAATATAGGGATACAAGTAATGATCATTTTAGTTACTAAATTATTATTCAATCTGAACATCGGTGTATAACCCTACCCCCCGCTACCTATTACATGGGACAACATAACATGTATGCGTGTATTTCTAGTAACTCCTTAGGGAATTAAATGGCGTCACAGTTCTAATGTAATCTTATCTTATGTAGGAGACATCATACCATGTATAACGGTACATATAAAAACTACTAACAAAGTAAATAGTAGATTTTTTGAAACAAAGATTTTAATCATTGTTTAATCTAATCCTAAGCACATTTCTCCAAAAACAAGCCACTGTTAATACAAGTTTTAAATTAAATCACACTTTTAAAATAAAAGTCATACAATAACAATAAACAAAAACAACCAACTTTCATTTGTTTTAATAAGAGAGAGCTCACAAAAGCACACCCAGAATACTTTATTACCGTGTCATTATCTTTTACAACTAACAGAAAAAGGATGGGATACGTACGTAGTGAAGTGACTGGCGTATGTGTAGAATGGCGTATGGCTATAGCGTAGTTGTATTTCGGCGTAGTCGTATGTTGGCGTAATGTGTATATGAGGAAAAAAACGCAAGTGCCAGTCATCCCCTAAAGCTGTGAGAGTAAATAGCTGAGAGAGTAAATTAAGGATAACGTACTTCAATTTACTCTTACGGGTACATTTGTGGGGTTTTCTTGGGATATGAGATACTTCGTTGTAGTAACGTGTTTAGAAAGAGGTTGAAAATGTTAATTTAACGAATGTAAATGTTCGTACTATAGTTGGTGACGGGGTTTAAAGATTATTTTTCAATCTGAATTTGAAACGAATATTTCTGTTTTTTTGGGTTTTAATTTTTTTTATTATTTGAAAGATCTACCATTTTACTCAACAATCCTGCTTTGGATGTTTCAACAACAACAGAGGCTCCAAATATTTCGTGTATATTTATGTTCGATTCAGTATTGCAAACTATTACGATTTTCTATAGATACAGAAACTACAAAAAAAGGCTCACCCCCTATTACATGGGACTCATAACATAAATAGTGAAAAGTGGGTGTTACATTATACAGTGGAATTGTACCGTATATACATCTCTACCTACCCCTTCGGGGATAAAAGGCGTGATGTTATTTTAATATTAAAAACCATAAATTATGAAAAGTAACAACAAACTGTACCGATAACTACCATTACCTAAATTACTTAAGAAAATTGGAAAACTTTACCCCATTTTTCATTACCACTACTATCCTTTGTTCTAACAGTCCAACACGCATGTTATGAAAATCTCGAACATGAGTACTTGAGCACAAAACTCGAATCAAACTTCTCCCATTAAAAACTAATTAGCAAAGTGGTCGGCTGTAAGCATCTGTGGCGTAAATTAATCAATTGATCAGCTGTTGTGCACTGCTTGTAATATTATTATTATATTGGACAGTTAATTTTATATTTCAAATTATTTGTGAACACGTTTTAAATAAATACATAATATAATTGCATTAAATATGATCAGCTTTTTTTATGTTCGTGAAATAATGGGCTAAATTATGTTACTGGCGTAGTATTTCGTAGTACGGCGTAGAGAAACGTAGTAGTGCCGAGTGTAGCACTTCGTAGTAATGCTACGAGACTGAGCTTAGGTTTTTTTAGTGATTATTTAATTAATTTGGAATCATCTCTAATTCACCTGAAATTTCTTGTAATAAGTTCAGTTTCCTTATTTTTCGGTTTTTAGTATAATTTCGTTCCTTTGACTGGATTTTGGTGTTACATTGTTCGCACACAATTGAACCAATAAAACTATACAAGGTGTAGTTTTGAAACCGTGACATTTCTCGGGGGCATGTCACAGAAGTCATAAATGTTCAATGTAAGAGAAAATTTCGAGCCAATAGTTAAAAATACGGCTATAATAAATAGTTTAAGTTCGACAGTATTTCAGAATTAGCGACAGCAATGTTTCTTATTGGAGTTATAAGGAATTAGGAATAATATCAATTAGGTGTTTGAGTTTGTGTGTGTTAAGCCGCGTTATAAAGCTAGTTACAAGACGGCGGCGAGTAGTTCGCACTTACGGATTTCCGTAATTTACTGAAAAATTAAAAATATTTACCTGCAATTTTTTTTATTGATTCGGTATCAGAATCGATAGCCGAGTTACCTCCTAGAAAATGACGCTGCTTTAAAATAACACCTTGTATAAATAAACTTGTAGTGTGAACCTAATTGAAAAAGAGTAACCTATGCAGTTTCTTGCTCGTTCTTCTCCATAGGAATCTACACCTTATCTTACACCCATAAATTTTTTGTTTATGTTCAAAAGTGCTTTTCTGGGCTAAATAAAATAAGTGATTTTGACTTTGACTTTGTAATTCAGTTGCCACATGAATCTTATTGTGCGTTGTATGGCAATAGACTTACCCCTTATAACATACATACATACATACATAACATCACGCCGGGGTAGGCAGAGGTGCACATTACGGCACTTAATGCCACTGTACAATGTAACACCCACTTTTCACTATTGATCTTATAAGTCCCATGTAATAGGGGGTGAACTTATTGCCATATACCGGGCACATTTCCAGACTCCGTGCTACTACTGAGGTTTTTACAAACCCTGTAATACTTTGCCCGACTCGGGAATCCAGTCCGAGACCCCTTGCCCAGAAGTCGCACTTGCGACCACTCGGCCAGTGAGGCAGGCCGTTATTACATGCGACTCATAACACAATTGGCGAAATGAGAGTCACTTTGTAAATGACGTGATGAGATAGGTAAGTAAAATTTAGTATTCCAAAATCTTCCCTGAATTTCCAACACCACTAAACTCATTGTTTACCATTATACCTCTAACATTATGTACCTTCAGTATAGTCGTACATATTCTAGACCCCTAGGTATATATGCTGTATGCAATCATGTTTCACGCTAATGCACTAAGCTGATACACGAAGTACTTATCGGGTGTTATGACCTCGCTCAGCGATACATTGTAATGGTCTCCTGATGTCTAGTGACGTATAATCCCGGTTAATTATTGTCCGTTGGTTTATTGCTTGAAATATTGGCATATCTT